GGGGGGGGGGGGAGGCCCACTGAGGGAAGCAAAATGGCAACTACAAAGGTCCCAAGGGAGAAAACAAGATTGGCTGTTTGATGAAGCAACGGCTCAAGTGACAGAGCAGAGGCTGATGTCAGAGAGTTAAGCGGGGACCTGGAGGTAGAATAAGGAGAGGCCAGAATTCCACTGGCTTACTGTGGGTGCCAAGAAATGCCAAGGAACTACCAGAAGCTGCAAGAATAAAGAAGTGTGGTTCCCGAGCACCTTCAGAGAGCGCACTGCTCTGCGGACACCTGATTCAGCCTCCGGCCTCCTGAGCCGTGAGAGACTAAACACTCATATTTGAAGTCACCGAGCTTGTGGCACTGTGTTACGGCAGCCCTGGGAACCAAGGCAGGAGAGTGTGATGGGGATGAGGAACCGGTGATGAGGACAGAGGTGTGTCTTTGAGAAGGCGACAGGGAACCGCTGCGAGATGCCAGGTGAGGGCTGGTCTTTGATAGTAGCCGAATCACCTGCCTGCTCCCAGAGAAGCGCAGCACCCTTCAGAGAGGACCAAAATAAAGGGCTCCCCAAACGCTCTGAACAGCAGAGAACGCCACAAACAGCCTTTGTAACAGAAACCCCCTCTCCTTTCAACTAACACACCCTATGCAGCCTCCACATTAAAGTTCCCAGTCTTCCTCTAAGCAGGTAAGAACCAACCCATGGAAGTTAAAATACAGCCATTCTCTGCCTTCTTAAGGAGTCTGAGAACAAAGGGGCAAGTCTTACCTACAGGAAGGGAGCCAGATGCTCAGCCAATGTTTGTCAAAACAAAACTACTAAACAGCCAGATGAAAGGTCCAGTCCTCCAAACCCAGGGCGCACCTTACCTTGAGCTGCTGCTGGAGCTCACTGTTCAGCCGAGCCAGCACAGCGTTCGCCTCCTTGTTCTTGCGGATAGCAGTCTGGATCGCCTTCTTCTGCTTGGAGGACTGCCTGTGGGAGGACAGGCAGCAGAGTGGGACAGAACTCTGGGGTCCAGGCCCCACAGGTCAGAACTGAACGATTCCTGAGAAGCGCTAAATTAACAAGAGGCTAACATCACAGGACTCCAAAAATAAAACTGGAGATTGGGAGGCAGGCAGGAGGCGGACAGGCCTCAAATGGCACAAGCTTGTTGGGGTGAGTTATTTACACCTGAAGAAGTTTTCATTTTATAACTTGAAGAAAAGCTATGAATTGAGCTTTTCAAACACTTTGAATTCCACTTATCCAAGACATTTTAACAAGCATTTCTTCCAGGGCAGGTGGCCCTGGTGGCCAAGTGCAAAGAAAAGAGAATAGAAGAACACTGTCTTTAGCAAAATGCCTGTGTTCATCTACCCAACCCACATAACTGCTCTGCTGCTGTTATTCGGCACAGATACCCAAGCAGGAGTGTGTGAGGGCGTGCAAGTCCACTTGTCAGCAACACAGAAAACTGATTTTGAACACCAATATCCCCAAACCCGGTCACAGCAGGTCCACAGGACAGGCCTGACCAGGGTAACCACAGGCCCCACTTCGCCCACTGGTCTCTGCTTCTACTAGCCCTGGTCATCCTTGGCATCCTCTTCTCCCCACAGAACAACAGATCACCATGGTTGCATCACCTACACCTTTATGCCCCGCTACAAGAGTAACAAATTCTCAAAGGAAAATGGAAATGAAAACCCCGTGGAAAGACAGGCACATTTGCCATCCCTGGCGGAGCGGCACACTGGCAGACACGGAGACCACAGCAGAGGGGCGGGGGTGCCACGAACACATACATGTGCCAGTGGCCCTGCCACGTGTAGAAGCCACCCTGCCTTCCCACAAGTGTTGAGTTAATACTGATTTTTCATACACATAGGCAGGGAAGAGACTGCAAAACATATTTTCAAAAAGACGCAGAGTGGACACATGGTTTTAGGATAAGCCAGAGCAGACACACTCTTCCATCCCATCCTCCTAGTACAGTGGAAGCCCTGGACAGCCTATCAGCACGCCTGCAAACAAGGCGTGAAAAAGTCACACAAGCTCAGTAGCCAGGAAGACCCACAGTAGCAAATTTCCTGGGTTTTCCTTTTTGCCTCACATATTCCAAACTGGATATGGAGAAGTTAGCAATCCAAAAATACCAACAAGGATAGATGAAAAACACCGCCCCCCCCCTTCAAGATTCTGCTCTCTCTAGCCAGAGGACTTGGACCCATAATCTAGAGAAGCTTATTCCAAGGGTACAAGACTGGTCAGCATTCAAAAATCAATCAATGTAATATACCCAATAGCAGGTAAAGTAACAAAAGTCAAATGACAGTGTCAACTGATGTGGAAAAAGCAGCTCATAAAATTTAATACCCATTCATGATAAAAAAGACCAACTCAGAAAACTATGAATAGAGGTGAACCTCCTCAAGTTGAACTTTTACCCCCCCCCAAAAAAAATCATACTTAATGAAAAATTGACTATTTCCCCTGAGATTAGACAAAGTAAGGATTTCTACTCTCATCACTATTTTCAGCACAATAGTGCAAGTCCTAGCCAGCACAGTCATGTATGAAAAAGAAACAAAAGGCACAGATATTGAGAACAGATAACAAGGTTGTTCCTATTTGGAGGTAATATGCCAGTAGAAAAATCCTAAAGAATCTATAAAAGGCTCTCCAAGACCCAGTAAGTGATTTTAGTAAGAATCAAAGAGTATATACAGGACAGATTAACACGTGAGAATCAGTACTATTTTGATATACTAACATGGAAACCTGAAAATCCAAGTTTAAAATACAGTATCATTTACAAACTCAAAATGAAATCATTAGGTATATCCAAACATGGAAAGAACTTGCCTGCTGAACACTACACAGTCTTGATGAAAGAAATAAACTGGGTTCTAAATAATGGAGAAATATATCATGTTCGTGATCGAAGACTCAGACTGATACACAATTCCTATTAAAATCCTGGCTCAAGACAAAGTTATTCTAAAATATATACTGAAGCTCAAAGGAATTACAAATACTTAAAACAATTGTGAAAAAGAATAAAGCAGGAGAAGTAAACTCTATAGCTGGATTATCCAGCAGTCAAGCAGTAAAGACAGCAAACAAGACTGTGTGGTATTGGCAAAGGAAGAGTCGCAAGTCGGCAGAACAGAACAGAGCGCCCGAAACAGACTCACACAAGCGCGTCAGTAAGCCAATGGAGAAACAACAGCCTCTCAACCAAGTGGTGAAGCCAATCTGCAGGACAAAAATAATAAACTTTGACCCAAATCTCATGGCATATAAAACTTAACACAAACTGATCACCAACTTAAATATACAGGATAAAACTATAAAAATTTTACAAGAAAACTTCTGAGAAACACTTCAGGACATAGGGCTGGGTGAAGAGTCCTTAGGTGTGCTACGAAAAGCACAAGCCAGAAAAAAAAAAGAAAAAACAGATTAGACTTCATCAAAATTTAAGTGTTTGCTCTGTGAAAGAGGATGAAAAGACAAGTGACTGACTGGGAGAAAAATATTTGCCATGCACAGATGTGACAATTGAATTACATATAGAATACATAAAGGCCTCTCAAACCTCAACAGCAAAAAAAAAACCAATTTGATTAGAAAATGGGTGAAGGACATGATGAGACATGTCCCCAGAGAGGACAGATGATGGCAAATGTCTCCAGAGAGGATAGATGATGGCAAACACCATCATGAAAAGATGTTCAACATACCAAGCTGAGGGGAAATGCAAATTGAGATCATGAAGGGACACACTATGAGAATCACTAGAAAGAAAACAGTGATAATCTCAAATGTTGGTGAGAATGTGGGAGAAACTGAATCTCTCAAAACACTGCTGGTGGAAATGCTTTTGAAAAACAACTTGGCAATTTCTTTTCCAACTAAGCATATACTTAGTATACAACTCAGCAGTCATGCCCTGGACATTCACCCCAGAGAAAGGAAAACATAGGAATACCTGTGCTCAGATGCTGACAGCAGCCGTCACTGAGGCTGTGCTGTCACATCGTTTGTTCTATGTAACAACTAGACACAAGCAAATGTCCCTCAACAGGTGGATGGCTAAACAGACATGGTACATCCCTGGTGCTGAGCAGTGCTGAACACTCATCAGACATGTGCGCAGCAGCCAGGCATTCTGCCCAATGAAGTGAGCCGAACACAGCTCACATGCTGTGAGCTTCCATTTACATGACATTCTCAGAAAGACCAAATGACAGGCATGGGAAACAGATCAATGGTTACCAGGGGGTAAGAAATGTGGGAAGGAGAGGTGGATGTGACTTCTGTCTCTCAGCTAGAACACACCACACATTTGATCAAATGTCACAGAACCACACAAGGGTACTGTCTCAATGTCAAGGCCCAGGGTTTTATATTGGTTAGGTAAAACATAGTCCATGGGAGAAACTGAGTGTAAGATACTCAGAAATTTATTGTACCATTTCTGCAACTTCCTATGAATCTATGTTCATTTCAAAATAGAAAGCGCTTTTAAAAGATGCTAATTAGATTACAATTGAGATAAAAAAAGGTACAAAATGATGTAAAAATAAACTGTTATAAAATAAAAACAAAACTAAACAAAACAAAAAAAGACTGATTAGAACTGGATGCCCCCCATATGCACTCATCAGACCACATGTGCCCAGCTTATAACAGCGCAGCACCCCACCCCTCAAGAACCTGCACCCAGACTGAGCGAAGGGAAGAGCAGTTCCGCCTGCTCTGCAGGGCTGATTTTGCCCAGCAAGGCAGGGGATAACTCGAAACATACATTCTAGAACCGCAGCACTATGAGGCCCTGTCCACTCAAGCTTCTGTGGCAGGCTATGCTCTAAACCTATTCTTGCACTTTCCTGCTCATCATAACACCATCCTCTGTGTGAGCGGGACACAAGGCATCCACCCAGAAACTGCCATCCCTGTACCTGTGGCCTATGGGAAGTGAGGGGGCGACATGTGCCACTGCCGTGTGAGCCCCTGAAAGTGGTCTGTGTTCCCCACCTTTGTTCTTCCCGTCTCTGGGGCCGGGAGTGTGTTAATGGTGACCCATCTTTCCCCTCAAGGATGCATGCAACACCCAGAGGGATCCAGAAGACCACAAGCTAGCTCTGCCTCTGGACTACCTAGCAACTTAGACTTCATGTAAGGAAGAATCAATTTCTACAGTACCGGAGTGACAATGACTCAGGGTTTCGTCTAACAGCTGCACCAATATTTAAAGGGATACAAATTGGGACCACTTAACCTTCACCCAGGGCTCTAATTTCTTCTAAGGAATGCTGAGTGCAGCTCTAAAAACTTGCACTATCTTCCTCTGTTTGGAAATGGTAGTTGATGCCAACTAGCAGCACCATTGTCATCCCAATGCTGCCATGCAGGAGGAGGAAGGGATCAGACCGCCAGCCACACACGCATTCGACACAGGCCAGCAGACACTGCACACTGGCTCCGGAGAGCACCTGGGTTGTCCGGGACAACTCCTGGCTCCCAGAGAAGTGCAGCGGTTCAGGCCAACACCAGCCCAGGACCAGCTCTGTCATGTAACATCCTCCAACTCTGAACTTCCCAAACAACTCTCTTTTCCCAAAGCCCATCCTTACAGCTACACAAGATGTGAGGGGATAAGCCAACCAAGCCAAATGATTTCTAAGAAACATCCACGTTTGTCTTTGCAGGCAGCTCACGCTGATGAGGAAATCAGAGTCACTTATTGCTCATACCCTGGACTCCAGCAGCTCACCTGAAGAGAACATTTTATTTCATTAGTTACTTTGCCCTAAATAAAGTAGATAATGATGCTACTCAAAAGGGGTCGAAAGGAAATCAAGCGAAGCCAAAGCAAACCATTGCCCCACTGGCTCACATTAGGGTCCTGGAGTTTAGAAACCTCTTTCGCTGTGAAAAGTCCACTGAGGAGAGGAATGAGGTATGGTTGCAACCCCAACGCCACGCTCTGCTAAGGCCATGAGCGTAAATATCACTCATGCACTTACATATACAGCAGAACTCACAGCAAGTTTCCACCTTCTTCCATTTATCTGTTCTACTTACTTCTGGACGGTTGGATGAGGCTTCACACTTGCCCCAGCTGTCGGCCCACCTGCCGTGGTAGAAGGCTCTTGGCTTTCTGTAACTTGATTTTCAGTTCGGAATTTCCTACGGATGGGCTTTGATGGAGGCTGAGAATAGGGTATGTCCTGTGGGTTAAAGACAGAACAAAAAGTTAAACAAATGTTCTCCACCATTATGTCAGTCACCTATGGTCCTTCAGCCCCCCCCACCCCCATCAATTCAGGGGTCTTCTAGGCACATCATGTCTGGGCAAGAACTAGTCATCTCACCCTGTGACGGGCCAGACAACAAAGACTGGAAACAACAAATGTTGGAGAGGACATGGAGAAAAAGGAGCTCTAATCTACTGTCGCTGGGAGTGTCACTTGGCACTGCCTCTATAGAGCACAGTACAGAAATTCCTCAAAACAAAACAAAAAACCCTGAATGGGCCTACCATACTACTAGGTATTGACCTGCAAAATATGTAAACGCTAACACAAAAGGCTCATGCACACTTATGTCTATATCAGTGTTACTCAAAATAGCCAAGACCAGAATCAGTGAGATGCCCGCTGACAGACTACTGCATAAAGAAACTGTGGACTGGATACCCAATGGAATACCACTCAGCAATTAAAAATGCTGAAATAGTGCCTTTGGGGACAAAAATAAATGAATCTTGGGGCATTTGGCAAGTTAAGGTTATACTAAGTGAAAGAGATAATGGATGGCCTATCTATCACTTGTGGAATATAAATAACCAAAGGAAACAAAGCAGCATAACAACAAGAATGATTAAGATTATTAAAATTAAACTGTTTACCCCAGGGGGTGAGGGGATAGAGGGAGATGGGAGGGGGGATGGAGTCGTGGCCCTGGGCGTGTGGGAAGGTGAGTGCACATGTGGAGAGGTGCAGTTGTGCTCCCCAAATCAGACAGCTCTGCAAACTAGTGGCAACTCAATAAACCATGAAGGAAAAACGTCAGCAGAGGGACATGGGCATCAGGTTCCAGTGGGTTTTCCTGCCTGTAGGCCAGAACCTCTTTCTGTCGCCAGAAGGACACAGGGGTCATGCTCCTGGAGTGTGTCTCTGTCTCTGTCTCTGTCTCTCTCTCTCCTTTCTTTTTTTAATTTTTTATTTCCACTCCCTTTCAAAAGCTGTATGCCTCTCACCCACCAGGCCTTCTCTAACTGAAGACAGAATTGGCTCCAGTTTCAGTTTGGGACATTTGGAAAATAAGTTTTCAAATTTGTAACAGTCTTGTCAAAGCTCATCATTCTCCTCCCCCATCTTTCTACATGAAGTCAAGCCAAAGAGCCAGAGTCTTCCGAAAGAGACAGCTGACCTACGGCCCTAGAGGCCCTGCCTCGCTGTGCTCCCGAGCCCAGGGCCCACGCTTCTGAGAGGAGAAGGGCCTGAGAACACAGGCAAGGAAGATGGTGGCGTGAGTGAGCGTGATGCTGACTGAGCAGGTGACAGGTGACTCAGTGACATGGGTAGGTGAGGGGAAGGTGCTGGGATACAAGAGGAGACCATGTACAAAGACAAAACAGGGGAGACCACCCCTCTGTCAGGGTGCCCCTGGAGGCTCATTGGCAGGAGTGTGGGGTCCTGCTAACGGCATCCGACCCACCCCACAGCACCTCTTCCTCTTGTCAAAAGCAAGGCTGCCATGTTTAGCTGGGAGTTCGGAGGGGAAATACGAACCATCAGTGACATCAAGACCAGGACCCTAATCTTCACAAAGAACCCAAGTTCTATGAATCTGGATATTTTACAATCACATCAGGATGTCAAAATCCTTAAACAGAAGGTGTGCTAACAGGCGAGAGGCCCCGGGCAAGAGCGCACACCTAGGCAGTGCCCTGAGGCTGGGCTGGCCTTACCTTCTTTGCGGGACTGCCTTCGGCGGCTTGGGAGGGGGCTCTGCTCGGCTGCAGGTGCAACTCAGCCTCTGATGCCTGCTCCGGCTGTAGCAACAGATCACAGCAAGGATAAAAATGCATAAGCAGAAGAACTACATACAAAGGAGCATGTGGGAAAACAGTCACCAGCAGAAAGGAGTTAGACAACGAGCAACCAAGCACGGCCAGACCCTCTTAGCCTCACAGGTCAGTCCTACTCTTCCTTCTCACCCTTCTTTTGGGCATTATTCAACTTTAGAGAAAGGAATCGTGGCAATTTCTTCTATAATTGGACATAAGCAGTGGTAAAAAACCGACAGCTCTTAAGTTCAAACTGCAAAAACAACAAGCTTATCAGAAAATACAGGGTTGAGAAGTAATTTAAGAGTTTAGCATGAGCACTAACAAAAACATTAATCACAATTTGAGACTGCAGTTTGCATAACTAGCTTGCTAATAAACACCCTAGTGGGAGTGACTCTCTACCTTTGCCAGGGTGCTCACGTGGGGGAAGGTGAGAACAAGTGCCATGGCTGAGGCGGCTGCAGGCACCCAGGCTGGCGAGGCCTACTCTCAAAGCCCTTCTGGACAGACGGGCACCCACAACCCAACAGCACACAGCACACAGCACAGGGTGGCTGTGTCACGTGCTACTCCCCAAGGTCCCCAGTCCCTAAAACCTAGTGCACAAAGCTTGCCACGTACACTAGGCCACAGCATTAAATGACCTTGCTTTCAGTTGCTCCTAGTCAGTGATGTGAAGTGTTAACTTGGGAGAAAAAACCCTCCCTGTGAACTGATGCGACTTCCACATTCCAGCAACCTTGCCTGCAAACTAATGTGCATCACAGAAACATGCACACAGCACGTCACGGGCTGGGACGACTGGGCTGTCATTAGGGACAGCATGCGCTGGGCCCAAGTTTGTAGGTTTTGTTTACTTGTCTCAATGGAAAGCCGATGCTTGAATGTTGGGAAGGAAGCAAATCCATGGAGTACAATCAATCCACGCAAGCAGCCGTCCCTCTGCAGGCTCCATGTGTGACAGCGCATGCCCAGCCAGAGTGTGGCAAACCAGAAAACACTGCTAGTAAAAGGCTCCTTGCAGCTGGAGATAAGATGCCGTTATAAATGTGAATGGCTCATGTTAGAAAGCTCCTGTACAGCTAAAGACCCTACTGAGTGGGAGAAAATATGCAATATGTAACTGATAAGGAGTTACTATGCAAGATACATTAAAAAGCTCACACAAGTAAACAATCAAAAAAATAAAAACCCAGTTAATAAGTGGGCAGCAGATATGGACTAGTCACCAAAGAGGATTTCCAGAAGGCCAAAAGACACAGGAAAAAATGTTTATCGTCAGTTCTTTAAAGAGGGCAGCAGCTTAAAATGACAATGAGATACCACCTCACACCATGAGAACAGTTCACACAAAGACCCCCCCAACAAGTGCTGGAGAGGAGGGCGAGGAAAAGGAACCCTCTCACATTACGGGTGCGAGTGGGAACTGGTAGCCATTACAGAATGTCATTTAGGTTCATCTTAAACTAAAAATGGAAGCACCATACCTGGCAATTCTATTCTTGGGCAGCTAGAATGGTCACAGAACACGAAACCATCTACACCAAAAGCCAGAGGCCCCACACTGCTCACAGCAGCATCGTGTGCGGGAGCATGCGCAGGGAAGCTGCTGAAATGTCCTTCCGCAGACGAATGGATTAAGATGTGGCACATACATGCCACGAAGTACTATACAGCCATAAGAAAGGATGAAATGCATCCATTTTCAACAAAATGGTAAGAACTTGAGAGAATTGTACGCAGCAAAGCCAGAACATTAAAAACAAACACTGAACATTCATATAGCACATAAAGTGACGACAGAAAACACTTCCCAAAACTAGTGGATGTCAGTAAACATCCGGAGGCCGTGTGGGTTAAGAGGGAGGGAGCAGGGAAGGGTGGTGAGGGGAAAATATACAAGTATTAATATTAAATACCAGGTCTCTATATATGTATGTGTTAATATTTATACTCCCCTGCCCACAAATGAGACATATTTTCATTCTAATCTTGCAATGAAAAGCATGGATAGGTCATATGAGCTTGGAAGGCACTGCCATGCTGGACGTGCAGAACCTTGCTGGGGCTCTGTCTGTTCCCATGGTTGCTGGGACAGTACAGCCCCAGCTCTGCTGGCTTCCCACAAGCAGGTATAGGTCCTCGAAAGGCAGACTGTGACTCTCCACCAGAATATTGGCCCACTCACTCAATTATATATTGATTTATTCATACTGCTGATGCGTCACTTTCCGAGGCGCCTTATCTCAGGTTCTGCTGCTAGGGAGCCAGACCTGATGCACCAGCAATGTGCCCCACAGAGGGGAAGCAAAAACTGAGTGTGCGCTTCCTTGACTGGTCGCTGTCTGTCTCTCTCTCATATCGGGTGCTCTGGATTAAAACAGCTGCTGTGCTGGGAGGACATTCAAGCAGTCCTAACAAGGGCCCTAGAGGCAATAAAGTAAGGTCTTCTGTTAAGAACTGTGTGACAGAGCCATCCCAGAGGGGATCATCCCACCCTGGTAGAGCCCTCAGAAGACTACAGCCCTGGCTGATGTTGACTGCGGCCCCAAGAGAGACACCGAGCCGGAGCCACCGACAGCAGATTAGCTGCTCCTATATCTCTGACGCACAAACACTTAGAGATGATTCCAGTTGTTCTGGGCCCTGAAAAGACACTCCAGTATGTCTGCAATTTGCGACTATGGTGGGGTAGGATAAGGGTGGAAAGTGGGGAGAAGAGCAGAAGAGCTGAAACTGGGGACAGGCAGAGGAGGGCACCACGCTGGCCTCGCAGACGATGCTCTTCCTTTTACTACAGGGGGCAGAGGCTGGGACTAGATTTAGAGTCTGCTCCCCACAGGGCCCCTGGGTGCTGCGAGAGTCACTCACATAGAATCAAGAAGATGGAAGAAACAGAAGCCACACTGTGACTTCTCTGTCAGTGACAGGAAGCAAACCGTGGGTTTCAGCAGTCAGAAGATCCTCTAATGACTTCAGGCCACCTGAGCATCTTCAGCTATTTCCTGTAGTTCTTACGATGTCTTTGTTTTCAGAAAGTTGTGGTAAACCTGACTGTGGTGGCCTTCCCTCATGTTTGCTCCTCGAGAGCATCGACTTCTTTCTATAAGTACCTGATTGAATGAAATCAACTCCAATGTGAGGTGTCTATAGAGTGGTTTCTGTCTTCCTGACCACACCTTGGTGGACACATTCATACTGAGGAGTTGAGCTTTATCCTGAGGGTCATGTGGGCCACTGAGGATTCTAAGTAGGGAATTGGTCTGGCTAGATCTGCATCTTAGAAAGATTATTCTAGATCCAGTGAGCAAACAGATTGAATTTCCTTATCCCAAGTGGGTTGCTCCCAATCAGTGAGCTGAAGAAGAAAACAAGATGCGAGGAGATGATCGTTTAAACCAGTCTGGTAGGAATGAAGACAGGCAGACTTGAGAGCTATTTAGACAGGAGACGGGACCATCCCTGGTGATGGACGGAATGTGGGTCAGTGAAAAAATAATGACACATGGAAGCCAAGTTTTAATCTTGGACAATGAATAAATGATTGAGAGAGAAAATAGTTGAGAGCAAGAGGAGAGAAGCTGAATAAAATGAAGCATATCCATCACAAAGATGTACCAGAATAACCCATCTGTATCTCCATACAGCAGTAGCTCTCCAACAGGGGTTCCAGAAAAATACCAGTTCCACGACTTACTTAGAACAGTGATTGACAAAAACACTCTGTAAAGAGCCAGGTAGGGAATATTTGGCTTTACAAATCATTTATTCTGTCTCCCCTGCACATATATAACTCTGTGGTTGAACACTGAAGTGGCCACAGAAAGTACACAGAGAGTACAAGAAATGGCCATGGCTATGTTCCAACAAAACACCTGGATGGGCCATCGTTTGCAGCCCCAGCCTGGAGGGGAGAAGAGTCTACAGATAGGCTCAGGAGCCATGGTTTGTCTACCTCCAGCGGGGAAAGCCGCAGAATATACAGTGCCTCACTTGCTGTGAAGTTGTGCGAGGTAAAGGGAGGTACCTGCTTTTTCCAAACACACTCGCTTCAGCTCTTTACTCTCATGTAATTTCTCTAAGTCTCCAGCAGAGCTAATGTTCTGTGCAACTTACTGGGAAACACTGACCTACAGTTTTAAAAGAACAAGGGGAAATGTTCCATTTGACTTGAACGCCAAATGTACGTCCCAAACTCAGCCCTTCCACGGAATCTTCTCTAGTGTTTGCAGCCTCCAGCTCCAGAGCCCCTGCTGTACTTTCCTCTTGACCTGGCCCAGAGGAAGGAGGTGGGAGAAACTGGGGTGCTGCCTAGCAAGGAAGAGCTCCCTTCCTTCCTTCTTGCTCTCTCTCCTCCCTTTCCCTGCCACAGCAGCTGTTGCTGCTGCTGCCAACTGCTTCTCTGCATGAATTTATTTACTGGGTGCCTTTAAAACCTCCTGGACCCAAACACAGTAGACATCATTCAAATAGTTAAAGCAGATGAATAGAACAACTGATACATGGCAGATTTTTCAAAAGTAGCTTGAACTACCAGGTCTCACTCAGATTTCACATCCGTCCAAGTAGGCAGCTTTACCAAGGTCCAGGTGCTTGTCACACCTCTCTGTAGGCCACTGCAAAATCTTCATTGGGCCTTTACTCAGCCTTCAGTTTGTTTCCTAGTCCAGTCCACCCTGCAGATTACTGAGGAACTCATCTTAAAATACATCTTCTCATCAAAACTCTATTTCCTCAAAGCCCCTCATGAACCCATAAGCCCCATGGTCACAATACAATCCTTCAGCCAGTGAAAGATCACTAATCATCTGGCTCTCACTTACCTCTGCATCATAAGGGCATTAGTGCACCCATATGGGGCCTACTTCAGGGGCAGAACTAGGGCCTGAACCTTCAAATAGATCAGGAATTTCTTCCCAACTCAATTCTCTGTGTTCCACATCTTCTAGTCCAATGATTCCCAGATATAGCTGCACAGAATT